TAACCAAACCACTCCTTTTCCTGTCTCGCAAACATACTCAAATACATATTCCTGTCAGTCAAGTTAAAGCAGTAAAACTCAAACAATTCAACAAAACAGTAACAGACCAGCACTCTGGACACTGCATTTTTGCAACATTATCATCTGCCTTGAATTTTCCCCCCTTTTGTTTCACATGAGATAACAACCATTACAGAAACCACATCCAGTGGCAAAATCCAACAGTGAATGCATCTGTTTGAACCCATTTCACTCTCACCTTCCATAAGAAAAAAGAATAATCTAATAGAAAGTATATGTCCCACTTTTTTGAGTGTTAACCAAAATGACCACGAGGGCCTGATTCATTTAAAAAAGACCAGGGGGGCTCACCACCACCGCTGCTGCTCATCTCGTTTTCCTTGCCCACTTAAGCTGAGGTTACACAGTAACCACTACTCCAAGACAAAACTACTCTCTGCAGGGCTTCATCACTAGCGCCTGGTGTCATGGAAACATTGGGTAGTGGTGTATTGCCACTACAGAACTATCATCTATTGGCACTACAGCCTGTGAAATATTGGTCTAAGGACCATCCAACTGTACAGGTTCCCATTGCCAAGGCACGCTGTGCCCTTTCTGCACCACATTCCCACTAGCCACTTTTAGACAAGATCAGCTATATCTTCTTTCCCACCTTTAGCTACGAGAAGAGCCATTTGTCATGGTTTAGGAATGATATTCCCCAATTTAGTGTTCCCTCTGAAACACCTCAGACTGTGTGCCACTTGCTCACACCCATCTCCCCCTGCAGTGGGATGGAGAGAAAAATTGCAGGAACAAAAATGTTAAGATCATAGGTTGAGATAAGCACAATTTAGTAGAAACAGCAATGAAATAAGAAAATGAACAGTAACAACAACAGAACTAATAACAGAGTGTACAAGAGAGGCAAACAATTCACATGTGAGTGCTCACCATGTGCCACCCAATCGCATACCCCAGCAAAGCCAGAAAAAACCCCTCCATCCCCCCTGCACATGTCATGAGGTGGTATCCAATAACCCCAGGCTCCTGGCTGTGCCCCTCCTGGCTGATGCAAAAATTAACCATGTCCTCGCCATTGATGCTTCAAGGAGCAAATCAACATCTTTGGGTTCTCTGCTAGCACGAGTCTCCTCTTCGATCAGATACTGAATCATGACCCACAGAATCATAGAATCATTGAATCATTTAGGGTGGAAAAGACCCTTAAGGTCATCAAGTCCAACCATAAACTTAACACTGACAGATCAACCACTAAACCATGTGCCACACTAAATCATATCCCTGAGCACCTGATGCTATCTATACTGCTTTTCTCCTTCTTTCTTTCTCACCTACAAAGATCTGTAGGAAGGTCCACTACTTGCTCCAACTGTACCAGATGGCAAGGCACAGCAGTGTAATCTCAGCACAGCATTTAGATGAAGTGCAGAATTGCCTCATAGTGTTAACATCTTGTTCTCCCACTAACACGCCCATCCCACCATCACTACTCACAGAAAAAGTAATTTTATGTCATTGCCATGTTTCCCATACCTGGAACATTATCTTCTCCATACCTTCTAATTCTCCTCACTTTCCCAGTCTTCTCTGTTTCTCTTAGTAATATAAGAAATGGAGACTTCTACAAACTAGAGACACTGTTCTTGGGTTTCATTTTCCTCAAATGTCTGTAACCTATCCTATGTATACACACACACACACATACATTTGTCTGTATGTATATAACTCTCTTTCACTCTTATGTTTTGATCCAGAATTAAGGATTCTGTATTAATCCTGACGTCAAGATGACAGAAGTTATCTCATTATTAAAAATAATTCCTTGCTATTAAAAATAATGAGGTAACCTGTTCATAAAATACAGGGCTTGAAAAAGGACACAGAGTCTCCTCACTCACACAAATACACTGAAAGGTGCAAAATCAGCAGATCCTTTAAACCCAAAAGGTTAAATTTGAAATATCATTATTTCTTGAGAGAATTATTTTGAAGAATTCATTGTTAAGGAAAGTATTGTAATTTATGTTCATGGCTCTACAGCTAGATTTCTTAAATTAAGCTCATTTCCTTACCCCCCATCCTTCCACCCCCACAAACATCAGCTCGTTATTTTAAAAATGCACAATGAATAAGAAAGAGGCAATTTAAGATGAGGCACTGTAGAAACTGACTGTGACAGGTGTTCAAAGAATGAATCAGTACATGATTTCCTAGTTCTTTTACTCTTCCTTAAGCATCTGCTTTTGACTACTTTTCTAACTTCTCCTTGATGCTTGACCCTAACAAAACCTCTGAGATCTCCTTAGGAAGTGAGGAGCTACAGGACAAAAAAAAAAAAAGCTACAAAGAAAACAAGTGTTTCCAGTGACTCCTACCTGGCTTTGGTTAATCTTCATGCTTCAATGCTACTCAAAGCACCTCATTTTTTGAGAACTACAGCTTTAGACTTTCCTGTTATCATTAATAGCTGCCTTTACACAATATTGGTTCTCCCATTAAATGTAGAAAAATCGCAAGTTCCTTGCTAGCAATTGGTTCTTCCCCCAGGCAAGACACAGCCGAGCTGCAGGAGGGAACCAGTCTTGCCATGAATATTTGTGGTGTCTGCAGTAACCCATTTCTCAACCCTGTAAGGCCTGTGGGTTGAATTAGATCTGCAAAATTTTCTACCAAATTTCTATTACCACCACATTTTTCCTAATCAGCATAACTGCTGTCAATGTATACAATAAAACATACATCTAATATGACTCAGTCTTTTGCAAGACACACTCTGTGACTGAAATATTCTGTACCAAAAATCCCCACAATATCATGAATGTAGGAAATGCATAATCAGGTTATCTGTGTGGAAAACAAAAGACAGATTCCTAGAGAAAGTAATTCTAGAATGATATATTAAATAGGCTTTTTTCCCTCTTCACATTTCACAAAGAAATACAGAATTTTTCAAGTTGGAATTACCTCAGGTGGCCATCCAATGCTCACAGCAGGCTTAACAGTGAATCCATATCAGGTTGCTCAGAGCTTTATCCAGTTGGGTCTTGAAAACCTCCAAGTACGGAAATTCATAACCTCATGAGCAACCAGCTCCATGGCTTAAGCACCCTGATACTGAAAATGCTTTCCTTGTACATCGCTGACCCTAATATTAATTTATATTGTATAAAATTGAAATCTCCTATTTTAATTTGTCATTATCTTTTGTTCTCCCAATATACATCACTGTAGAGAACATGGCTCCACCTCCTTGTAGCTGTTGGATAGCTGCTGTTAGGTCCCTCCGATGCCACCTCTTCTCCAGACCAAACAAGCCTCAACCTCTCCTTGCAGAACACATGCTTCAAGCCCTGACCATTTCGATGGCCTTTCACTGAACTCACCCAAGTTCACTGATGTCTGGACACGTCATTGCAGATATGGTCTAAGGCGTGCTGAGTAAAGGAGAATAATCACTTCCCTCAGCCTTCTGGCTACTGTCCTATTGATACAGGCCATTCTGCTGCTAGCCTTCGTGGCTTTGGGCTGATCAAGAACAAGGATGTAGTTCATTCTTGGTTTCTTATTCAATCTTTGTCCTGTTTGATGACCCTGTCAGCACAGGTGCCAAGTAACACCGAACAGCTGAATGAGCAAAGCAGAAGTGCAAGACTTTCTGCCCAATCTTGCAGCCTGCCCTCGCTTCATATGAATGGAAGATCAACTGCTTCCTCACATCATGCAAAATCATATAAACAACCTTGTAGGATAGCAGAACTGCAATGACAACATGAACTGCCCACAGTCTTAGGCTGTTTCTCTATATCTGAGTTACAGATAACAAAGATCCAAGCAAAGTCACTGGCTCTCTCTTGTCTGTAGTGCTCCAGTTGTTTTACTTTTTGCATCAGAAATTGTTCATCCCAGAAAATACCATGAGGGTGTGGGATTTTCTTCATCAATTTCAATGCAAACATGTGGTCAGACAAAGCACTTTACAATCAGTTTAGTAGCCAAAGTGTACACTTGTACTCAGGGACATAAATAAAAGGGACATGCAAGAAGAGACTCTATTTCAATGGGAAAGCATGGTTTTCCACCTAAAATGTGACAAGTCAATATGCATCATGAAACACAAGATATTTTTAGTTCTTATTCAGTTTATGAGCATAATATCAAACCTCCTCTATATAACATGACAGCACAGTAATGAAACTAAGATAAAAAGATGAGCAAGTGTACTTCATCCAATATGTCCAAGTATCAATATACTGCTTATCTCTTTGCTTGAATAAAAATACTTGCAAAATGTATCAGTAATTTTTTTCATTAAAGTTTCAAGAGGGAAAAGCATTAGGATTTTATACAGCATATACAAAAAAGGCTTAAATTTTTAAAGGGACTGTAGAAGTGGGAATTGGGCCTCTCGACCTTAAATCTCTGAATCAAATGTGAACACACTGCCAACCCTGTGGAATCCAGAATTTCCCACACATTTTTGCTGACAGGTACGGATGCTTGTGAGTGTGTAGCCTGTCTGCTGTGATTGCCTGAAGAAAGCAGCCCTTGACTTAAGAGACATAAGAAAACACAATAAGCACATATACCATAGTCTATTATTTTAGCCACCATTGCTGTACCTAAACACTTCAAAAGTATCTCTTGATGAACACTTCACAGGGAAACTTTTGATCACTCTATGAACGCTTCTGTATTTTCTATATTCAAGGAAAACACATTCACCTTCTGTGAAAAGGGGTTCTTGCACAATTTTACAGTTGATGTATATATTTTCACCAAATCCTGTCTGCATTCATAGCTCTCGACTGGCAATTAGCAGCAAATAATTTGAACAGGAAAATTGAGGAGAAATACACAGTGGTTTTAAAATCAGAAACGGCACTTGTTTATGATAATATCTGCAGCTCTTCCATCTAAGTACCCACACAGATTGCACATACTCCCACAGAGATGGAAATTAATACGTGAAATACCTGTGCAGCTTGAGCGTCACAGTTCCATAAACAGTAGCAAAGCCCAGAAGACGAACCCATCTTAGGAGAACACAGCGAAATACACTTGGCTCAAAATACAAAATGACAACCTATAGAACAGAAAGATAGAGAGAGCTTCAGTACTGCTTTCATGAGAAAGTAGTTCTTCATTCAAATGCAGAATAGCTGCAAAACAGGACAGCAGACACATTTCAGCTCGTACTGCTGTATATTTAGATTCTCTAGTAAAGCAGCGGGATGATCTGATCAACCAGCTGGCACAGTTATAGGCACCAACTTCTTTTGAAGGGAGCTGGCAAAAGCCCTGTGACAGACTGTGAAGTGACAACACTTTTAAATGCAATTCCACTGACTTTTCTTAACTGAGTGAAAACATGTACCCAGAGAAGAGGATAGAACAGACAAGGACATTTTCCTTGAGCTATTCCAGTAATATGCAGCTGGCCTAATTCTGGTTTGATGGGCTGTATTTACTAGGTTACACTTCAAAGTCACTCCTAATAAACCTATCAAAATTATAGCTGCTCATTTTTTTCTGCCAAACTAAAGTGATTGCACGAGCCTCGCTCTATCCAAAATGACAAAATATTGATGACATATTTGACTGTTTTCTTCCCCATACATTTTACCTAAGCTATACCAAATCTCCCTATGCATCATCGCATTCTTAAGGAAAATAATCTTTTTGTTCACCTACATATTTCTCTAATCACAACAAAAAGGTCCTACTGGCCTTTTGCACTATCTACCAAGTACCGTGCATGACGACAACATCCCATAAGCAGTAAAATAAAGCTACTTCTTCAGGTATAGTGCATATAGAAGCTTCACTACCAAGTAAAATGCCACCCTTCTCTAAAACAGGACTGCTCAGTGGACTCGGTCACAATTTGAACCAAGAATCCATTTCTTCTCATTCCAACAGGCTTTGTCCCTGGTGTCCTGAGGCATGATCCCATATTCCTTCTCACCACTGGCCCCTTCCTTCTTTCATCTCACCCCACCAGGAGCCTGATGTCTCAGGGATTTGGCTGTAAGCTGCCCCTACCCCACCTGCAGACCCTGCTTGATCAGCAGTTAGACCCTGTGCATCCCACATGTCTGACTAAACCTGATAAAACGACCCAGTGCACCATAGTATAAATTAATTGGGTAATCCTGGTTCACAAAAGAAAGCACTGAAACATTTCAGGCCATCTGCCACAGCTTCATTTACAGTCAGTACATTCTGGCAGCAGAGGTAGTATTATGCCTACTGGCTGCCACATGGTATTATTTTCCTAAGTAAATGCTCTTCTATGTGGGAATTCAAGTCCAGGATATGGCCAAAAGCCCAGGACTGTGTCCTTTGGGTGACACAGACTTCTTTTAGAAGGGTGGGGACAAAAGTGGCAGACATGGGCTGAGAAGCTTTTGTGCTTTGCTGGCACGCTTTTCTTTTACAGAATCAAACTATTTTTTAAAAAAATATGTTTTGTTGGATTAAACTGTGGTGCAAAACTTAATCTGCTTTTTTTCACTGTTATTGGACTGAGATGTTTCAAGGTAGACATTTTCTGGGAATATGACAACTTCTCCATGTAGGGAAGGAAGGGAACAGCGTGCAGGTTTTCTCCTTGGAAAATCAGCTGGAAAAATAAAATGCATCCACACATGCATGACTATGCTTGGGCAAACAGAGCATCCAGTAAAAAGTTTCTCAGAAAGACCTGAATGATAGCAATGACCTCTTATCCTAATATACGGTTACATACATTAGGACAGTTGCAGAACCAGAGCAAAGTCTGTAGCAGTAATATGCCTCCTGAGGTTTGCCAGGGGGTAGAAAACACCACGTTTCATCTTTGATTCTTCCAAACTAGAAAAACAATGTCAAAAAAAGACTGGTGCACAGAGATCCTGAACATTTCAAAGTCGATCTGAAAGCAGAATTTTTCAGATAATTGAAATGGGAAGGTCTGAAAACTCTCCAGGCATAGAATTTTCTGAACAAGGGCAACTGCTCGCTTTGCTGTGCAATCTGACACAGCAATTTCATCTGCAGTAGCTTGTTGAAATATTAACTGCTTGTGTCTAGAAAATCTCATTGATTTGCACTGAATCATTTGTATGAGCAGCTGAGGCATTTGGCTAGATATCAACCAAGAAACCACCACTTCAAATGCAGCCCAGCGTGAGCCGGCATGTGGCACCTCACCATGAAGGCTGCAGAGGCAAGGCTCTGTTGCAGAAAACTGGTCTCCTTTTTCCTTTTGAATACTGACCCAGTTTACCTGCTCCTTCCCCCAGTGGTGTAGGACATTGCAGAAGCACGACTTGATCCAAGTTTGAATCCCTTTTGGATCTTCCTGTGTTTATATGATGAAGAATAGTTACAGTGCTCTCGCAAGGGCCAACATCCATTTCTACCTATTTTTGCATGTGGTCTGTCATGGACCTAGGCTTTGAAGAGCAAGAATTGCTATATGTACACTTCACTTGCTTCCTAGGCTTTCCAGAAAGCTCCTCTGAGAATATGTCATTCCCATCAGGGCTCACCAGGATGTTCAGATGACTGCCCTCTCTAAGCTCTTGTCAGCATTAAGTCTCTTATAATCACCATGAATTTCAGAGGCACAATTTTTAAATTGAATAATCTTTAATGGATTAGAGCCAAGGGGCTATAGAAACACTGCCCTGAAATTCATGCTCAATTTTTTAATCTAAGTGGAATACAATTCTTGTAAAGAATCTGGTCCAAAGTATGGCTGCTGCACTCCATCCCTCACTCTCCCTAGGTTTAAAAAAAAAAAAAGAAACATAAGATAGAAGTCTTGGTTTAGTTTCATACCAGCCTCTTCTACCTCACCAAAAACCCCATTCACTACTGTTATTCCCAGATCTAAGCTTTCTTCAAGTGACAAACAACATGCAGCAAAAGGTTGCTGAGCTCCAAGTGAGGAGTGTAGGATGAAACCAGGATTCACCCACATATCCAGGCTGCTCTCAGCAGAACAAGGGAATCCCTCTGCAGATCTAAAAGACTGCCCTGCCCACCAAAAATCTGACAATAATTCATTTTCCCTTTTTGCTTTTATAATGCATTAGACCATAACAGCAGCATAGATCCCACTAAAAATGCTTAGAGGTTTTGCTGATGGATGTAATAAAACCTCTTTACTGTACATAAAGAAATGTGTTAGTTGTTTTGCCAGCACCTGGAATTCACTTAAATACCAGACATAAGTTTCTGTTACTTAAATAGCAAAGATCAGGGAAAAAAATATTTGGAAACCAGAAGAAGAAAAGCCAAACAGTGACTGTTCATGTACCAGTTACTACAGCTGTGCGTGAGACTTCATGAACTATCTCATCTTTGTCATTTGGACAAATGCATTTAGATGTCTGCTTTTAAACTCAAAGTGTTTTAAGCTATTATTATCCTTGCCAAAACACCGTCCCAGCAGTCACGCTACCACTTGTGGAGTCAGAGATGAAAAGACTTTCTGAGGTCACCAGCTAACTGTCAAGTGTGTTTAGAGCTGGAGAATTACGGTCATGGAAGAGGGACTTAGCTTGCTGACACAGCGATGAGCCAGCTCCGTTATTCATCTCACGTGATGTACAGACATGCACACTCTCTAAAGACAATGGCTAAAGTCAATACAGGCACCTTGCACAATACAGCAAATTTTTGTTATCAGGACAGGTAGGGCAGTAAAAGTGCAAAGAGAACTAACACTTAACAACTGAAGGTTGAATATCATAATAGAGTTTGTTGTCACAAAAAATTAGCAATTAGGGACTTTTATAGGATCAGTGCCATTGCTTCTTAAAAGATAAACAAATAATCTTTAGAAAGATTATTTAAAAAAAAATCCACCTTATCACAGCTCTATAATGTTAACAGTTAGCAATACTTCTGTGCATCACAAAATACTCTTATTTTTCAGATTAACTTTATTGTGCACATTAAAAGATGGTTAATTCTGCACTTCACCTTGGGCACCAGATACAGGCAAAAATATTTTAATACTGTGCATTTCCCCAAGGTGCATTAACTGGGATAGTAAATCAGCTAGGTCTAGTAAATCAGTGCAAGTTCCATAGAAAACCCAGGGATAAAGGCAGATACCTTGAAGAAGTTCAGCTTCAGCTACTTGAACAGAATCTTGGCCTACAGGCTTCAAATACGCATCTCCATTGTCTAGAAAGGTACTTCAGCATTTATTTGAAGGAATTTGCTTTACTACATGTCAATTAATAATCCGCATTAGGAGGACTAAACCAAGCATTTTTATAGCCAGCTGTAACTATTTTGTAATGTGTTGAAGACAAATTGCTTTTCACCTCGAGTTTTAAGCCACAGAAGTCACATGAACAGATCAAAAACTCATTTTCCTCTTCAATCATCAAACTGCTATACTCCATATTGAGAAGGAATGGGAAACACTATAATGTCTCAAAAGATCAGAAGTCGAAGAACTTTAAAAAATACATGTGGTTGTCAGTGCTACAAATCCTAAAGCTAAACGTGAAAAATTTTGAGCAGGACCTTAACTCAAAAAGCGTCAAAGTGTACATTTTTGAACCCTTCTTATTTTTTCCCTCAGTTGTAGAATCATGGTAAGGTTTGTGTTAGAAGGGACCTTTAAAGATCATCTAGTTCCTAGTGCTGTGAGCAGGGATGTTATCCATGTCAAATACATGGAAATGAAATTCAGAGTTTAGAATTTGAGCATCAGCATCATCTGGTTATGGATGAGAGATGAAAGTCACCTACTTTAGACAAAAGTGATGCAAGAGTAATAGTTATTTTCTCAATTGCAAATAACCATATTTTTCTTAAAATTGTGCACACTTAACCTAGAGAGCATTTCAGGAAAACTATCTACTTTTTATATTGAACTTCAGAAATTTTTGCAAGTACTCTGTACAGTTCAATGCAGGACATGACACAGCCATTTAACATAATGCCTTTCGGGCTAATTCCATTAACAAGCATCTAGGAGATACTGTGAAGAGATCCATCTGATCTGTTCCACTGCCCAATACCATCTGCCCTTGCCTGACTGCAACAGCTGTCTAGGGCTGTCTCTAGGCAATTCTG